TTTTTTTTGTTACCTCAGATATCATTTTCATTTGATATTATCTTTGTTAATTGTTGACGACCAAGTGTTGCCTTCTAGCACGATTTCAGGTATATTCTGTATGTGAAGAGTGCTGCAGTGGGAAAAATCCCAATAAATTTTTTCCAGTAATTATTCTTCGGCAAACAAATCTACCAGTCAAAAGAGTGACAGTGCGTTTAAAAAAGTTATGTAATTATCTCAGCATTACGCAGCACACTCTTTCTTTATAATGGTCTTGATAAGAGAGCTAACGAGGAGATAAAGATTAGTGAGGATTGCCAATTCCTCAATTTACCTGCATGAACAGCATTAAAATATTTCGGCTGTAGTAAATCTTTTCCTGTGCTAAGTTTGTGAAATCCTTCTCGACATCTTAGTCATTAGCAAGACAAATGCAGAGATAGTGCCATACGAAAAGTTTGCGTTAAAAGCCAATATTTTAAAAGCTTTTTGCCAAAACTTCATTTTGAGCTAAGCATGCTGCGTACCATTCGCAGAAACTGGAACAATTGATCTTGCTTTTTTATCTAACACATCTCAACGTTTATAAACAAACAGACTAAAAATGCTCATGTTTCCATGTGATTATCTGGAGCTACCACCACATGAATATTGAATGGGTGCGCCAGTGAATGCAGAAAGTGACCTGATGCACGAGGCTTCTTGGTGGTTATAATTCTCCGAGTCATCCGGTAGCTGTAACGCATTCATGCCATTTGGCCAATTACGCCTTAAAAATCTTGAGTGTTTGTAGTTTTGTTTGCCTATAACTTATGAGATACGGTCAAGGGCATAATTCCCAAAACAGTAGTGTAGCTTCCACATCCTGAAGCTTAACTGCCCAGTCAAACAGATAAGCAAAACAAACAAAATATCAAATAGCTTTTTTTCTGGAATACTTTGCAATTTTTTCAATAAACAAGCTAAACATGGGTGACTTAAAATTTTTCTAACATACAGATGGCGAAGCGAACCGAAAAAGCTTAGCGTATTTTAGGAATATTTATCGAATTAAAGTGATAGATTAGACGAATCACTGCTGTCTATCGTCACTAAACCGTATTGTCTTTATCCCACACTTATTTATATATATCATGTTACATTTGTGTTGCATCATGTCACTCGTATACATCCAAAGTTTGAGGAAAAACAGCATCATCAAAATTCATCATTTTTATTGGAAAAAAACCAGCTCCACGCTTCTTAGAGAGCATAATATTAGCTTTAATTTTGCAACATCTGGTGTAATTTAGCATTTCTCAATTGATTTTGACATAATATGAGTGAAAATTTTCCCAACCTCACCCATGTTTTTAGAAATCCCGCATTCATTTAAGAAAGAAATGCAATAATGAAATAAACCAGTAACAGGTAAAACCAACTACCATATACAGGGTCAAATAACAGTCCATTTTAAAATTGGTCATTGGTGACAACATTCAAACTTAGAAGGTGGCAATGCATGGTTGTAATAACAGGAAGCAGAAAGGTATCTTACAAACAGTCTAACAATCGCGGTGATATTCTCAAGCTAGCTTGATAATCGGCCCTAATGAGCAAAACCAATTTTAAATTACCACTAAACTGGATCTCGGCCGTCCGTTAGTGATTTTGACGCCAAGTCTAAGAAAAAAAAAACACACTTTTTCTGAGCATGTGAACTTTCAAGAAAGTTGCCAAAGTGAATAGAGTCAAATTTCGATCCACCGTTCGAGTAGTCTCCAAATTACGAGAGCATAACATTTCCATGATCACAGGTCAAAGTTTTTCGGATTTTAGGATTGGTATTTGCGAAGTTCGTTGACGCCACGAGGGTGCTAACGGCTGTTTGGGTGTACCGGGCTGAGATCGGCTTTCGGCGTTCCGCGCACTGCAATTGCATTATATTTACACTAATTAGGAGTAAATATGAAATATCGGGGAAAAATGAGAATACTTTAGACGCCCAATTTGTTGCCAAATCACACAAAATACAGTAGCGCAACCAGCGCTGGGTGCTATTCATATTCTGTGTTGGAAATACAAGCAGCTTGAAGGATTACTGAAAAGAGCAGTAAATTCAGCCTCAAAATGCTAAATTGTGTTAGAAGGCATTGAAAAATGGCGCAAGGCGGTATCAAAAACAAATGATAAAAGAATCTGAAAATGAGTGAAAGCCGGAAGGGAAAGCTCTATGGAGGGGTGTAACCAGCACGAAATACTCCACTTCAGAACCCTGAATACACCGCTGAAACAGCCCGATATGTGACACAGTAGCAAGGGGAGATTTCATCAAAGCCAGCAGCAAAGCGTGAAAAATTAGGCAGCAAGCACGTGGAACGCTCACCTCGGAGGAGAACGTTCATCAGCAGAAGCACCGCAAGCGTGCATACTCTGAGTGGATGCGCTGTGTTCACTCGTATCTCCAGCTACTGCAACATCAGCACCGGGCGCACCTTTCCGAGCCGTCCCACCTTGTGACGATGCTTCGGATCCGGATCCTGCTGCCATCACTCGAGTTCCAATCGAATCCAGTAACAGCGACGGATTGCGTCGGCGAGGAACCGGCGACTTTAAATAGGCTAAAAATGAGAGCAGTTGATTAGCAGGTAGAGCTTTTGGAGCCAACATCGTCAGTGAAGTGCATTTGGAAGTTGCGAAATACAGCATCTCATTAAAAACACTATTGGCTCGAGCGGGTTTGATATTCCTGGTACATACAAAATATAAAATACATTAAAAAAATCGTCAGATGAACAGGAATGTTTGGGCCAGTTTTGAAAGAATATCACCCACGCTTTGCCTAAAACCGCTGCATTTTCTAAATTTAAAAATATCTAGAAATTTCAGTCATCCCGACTCACTATAGAAATAGGCGGTAAGATAGTTGTTCCTGAAACTAAATCTTCCACCTGCAGGTGGCATGGCCAGCAATACGTCGGCAAATTTCAGTCGAGAAACCAGATAAAACAGCATGAAATCATCCCCAATATCTCATACTTTCATTTTTGAAGAGCACTCATTTAGCGATGACGAAGAAAAAAGCATGCAGACAAACGAAGCAATTGGCAGACAGTATGTTTTAAGGAAATGTACGACAGCAATAAGCGGAATTAAGTGATTCATGCATGAAGCAGTGGACAGATGCAGCGAATGTGAATGTAGCAGCACCTGCTAACGCGCTTGCTCGATGTCTTTGGAAAACCAAATCATTGTTGGAAGGTTGTGCATGTCGCACGTCACCCGCTGATCGCAGAGTGTAGCTATCCAGAGCTGAATTTGTCTCCACTCGCTCCTGAATTCAAAAACCGCATGTCTTTCGGGTTTTGAGCAGACACAAAACGTTTTTAGCACAGATGAACGCAAACCCAACAACATCACTCATACCGCTGTCTGACTTCTAACGTGTGGTATCGATGCGGCCGTGTTCGATTCCGAGTCCGAGCAGGCACTACTGACACTTGAATCGGAAAGCCTTCTAGGACGCACCATCAATGCTGCACTCCTATCGGACCTCAATTACAAGGATATTTAGAGCTATCGCATTCAGAATCTTGCTGGACATCACAGATTCATCCACGATACTATTGCGAAAATGGACAACGCGTTGATTACCTTTGTTGGAAAGCTTGTAAAATTGCAGTTAAGTGATCAACGAGCCTCCTGAATCGTCTGATTGGGCCAGCAAGCAGCGCGAACTGGATAACGTACACTGGAGCATCCTCTGTGGACGCAACTGTGTGAGCAGCTTGCACAATATCCACCTGAACGGTATTAAGAAATGTGGCGAGAACAGATTTAGTGGGGAAAACTCGCAAATCTGGATGAGAATTGTAACGTACTTGCATTTTAACACCTCTTGAAAAAACGCCTCCACCAACAGTTGGTCCTCTCTTGTACTCCACACGGAATGAGTTCTGGCCCACAACCGAATGGCTCAGCTCATGGATCTGAAACAGTTTCCGGTTTCTATTACGCTTTTTGTTCCATATTTTTCAGCGTCCTAACAATTTTTTGTTTCAGTTTAACAAAACACATTAGTCTGAATTGACAAGCGGAAGTGACGAAAGAAGTCGTAATCAAAGACGCTTCAAATGACAAAAGTGCTGGAAAGCACATGCGAATGACTCCCATCCGCTGACCAAATGGTAAGTGCTCTTCGGAGGGTCAAGCTCAAAGCAGCAGACTACGACTTAAAAATAATGTGGCTACACTGACCGTCAGGAATGCTCGAATGAGTTCCGCTTTTATCGCATTTACTGACTTCCCATGCGCTGGTATAATCTGAACATCGTCCCGTTCAACACTGATGCTTGATGCCAACGATCCAAACCAGGATTTTTTGACCAAACTGAAAACTGATCGGACATAACACAATCTCAAGCAGACAGCAGCAAAATTAGGGCAGCGTTTTCATATCCCACCCCTTGTTCAGAAAAGACAATTAACCAAAACTGATCTTCATAACCAACTTTCAAAAAGCAACGTTAAAACTTATTTTCCCGGCCAATTATATTCTAAATTCCGTGCCTCCCGGCTCGCCCCATCAATGTTCGTTCAGACTGAAGAAGCAGCATGTCCCAATCATAGCTGTAGCATTGAATTCGAATCTTTTCCTAGGTATTTATTTCTTTTGACCGCCGAACCCCACAATGAGCCAGCTCAGATACCTTAACTGAATGAACATGCCCTATGCAGCATTGCTCAAACTGATGAAAATACTCGTTTGCTTCATGTCAGCTATCATACAGACCAGAAGCAGCTGTAGGATGAACTCACTCAGACGACTCTAGCACCTGGTTTTCCTCGGAATCGCTCTCACCAGTACCACTGCTTCCACTGCTCATCTTCCTGCGATGAAAACGTGGAGTCCCGAGAAATGAGTTCTTGATGCTTGACAGTCTTCGCCATGGTCCCGATGAGCTGATTGCACCTGTAGCAACAGCAAATCTATTACGTATAAATGAAGCTGACCTTCGGCGAGAACCACTGTTTCAAAAAAGCACCTCGGCGAAAAGCATACCCGTATTGAAACTGCCTGTGGATGTATTTGCGGGTCCCAAGCCCGAAGCTGAACTGATTCTCGCTTCTGGCATCATGTTCGCAGCGGCCTGTGAATGCCGAGGACTCTTCTGTAATTGCTGCAGAGTTTCCAGAAAATTATTCGAGTAGCAAAAAATGAAGAATCAGGAAGAGGAGATAGAAGTGAGTGAACCAGGAACCTTGTCATCAGTACTGGTGCGAACTCGTCTTGCTGCAGCGGCAAGCGTTTCTGGATCCACTGGCTGAGTGTAATAATGATAGTTGTTGACTCGAGCCGATATCCTGAATAAAATACATTAGCGCAATGACTGTAGCAATAGAACAAATTAAAAACTAACCTGCCACGGTCTTCGACCTGGGCAGCGGTATTGGCGGACTGCCGTGACGACGCAAACGATAAAGTATCAGTACCACTACTAACTGATTCACGAGGCGAACCATTCGGCGATCCTCCAAGTGAGCAATGCCTTCCACGACTATATCTCCTAAACGAATCACATGCGCATGAGCCAAGCAAAATGATCGGCTCTCAAATAACGTGTTACATTACTGACTGATGACAAGCAATACTTACCCGTAAGTTTTCCGGGGATTGATTGGAGATCCTTCGCTAATTGAACCAACTGGATACCTAGACGGTCTTGAAGAATCCGTTCTCTTCCTTGGCGGATCGTGACTGGGATTGGAACCGCGAAGGATCACCTGCAAAACTGCAAATCGCAAAACATTTCATCTACTAGCATTAAAAAACGAGGACACGACTCTTCGCCGCTTTTATTTTCAATAATATAGCACTGTTCGACCTCTGTTTCATCCTCATGAGCTGGTCTGCGCCTCTTCCGATCCAAAAGCAAAAAGTAAACCATTTTCTCGGTATTATGCCTAAAAATACATGTCACTTCAGGAGTTTCTGTTAGATATCATGGCACCTGTTCATATATTTAAATACACAGAAACTTGAATCAGAGTTCCTAAATGAAACTGGAAGTTTCGTGTTACCTCGAGGAGAGTAGCTCTCGGACCAATTTTTCTTTATCCTTAAAGCAACCCAAATTATTCATATGCCTGAAGACATCCGGATCAATATTTTCCTCGCTTGGGATTATATATGTCTGTAAAATATTATTTTGGTCAATGGGAAAGAGAGAAAAACCGCTGTGTTTTTCGTTTCAAAAGCGAATTTTGTCACCCAATTCTAGCGTAATGGCCGGAAAAGTTAGGAAGGTGAAATACTATGAAGATACTCCTGGCCCATGCACAACCTATAAGCGTAAAATCAATTCTTATGCGCGGCTATGTCTCAAGATTGGATGCCCGAAGTTAAGAACTGAAAAATTTTGGCAAAGAAACCTGTGAAATTTTGTCTAAGGCGATTTGCTCATTTCGATATCTTGCAGCAGTCTGTTTACTTCTAAGGATGGAATAAGATGAAAGCGAGAAATATAACCTGTACGACTTGAGCCATTGGTAACTCAAGTTCAAGTTCAGCTTTTGAGCTGCCAGCTACCCATGGATGTTTGAACACATCGCCCAGCTGCAAAAATTAATCCGGAATACTCATGAGATGAAATAATTTCCCTTTCATTTAAAAACAGTTAGTGCAAATTCGAGAAGAAACTGATCAAATTGTTTGAATAGATCAAAACCAGCCGACGGGAAACATCGAGAGCCCATCGTACTCATACGTTTTTCTGTACGCACTGCTATTTCAAAGACTTAGTTGAAAGAATGCAGGTATGTACAAGTCCAATTTGAACTTCATACTGTCTTTCTTCTCAGAAATTAAATTGTCCTAATTTAAATTTGAACGACTAAATCATGCTTTGCCGCTGAAGCTGCCTAGACTTGCCGCATTAATCTGCCTGAACCTAACCATTACCTAGGCTTTTCCTGTACTTTAAAAAAGTTTGTGTTTATATCTTTCTACGGTTAAAGTCTAGCCGGAATTTAATAACGTAGGTGGAGGGAAGGAGGGAGAGAAAGAAGGAAGATCTAAAAGCTGTATTGAACATTAGAAGCCCCAAACGTGGCTAGAAGACTTTGCTCCAAAATTTTCAGTTGTGTAGCTTCCGCAGTGTTTGAGTCAGACGGGCAAATAAATACAGTTGCGCACAATCATGCTTTTGCTATAATGCTTTCTGCACAAATTTGAATTCAAAATGCAAGAAAAAGGGACATAAGTGGGAAAAATCAGAAATAAGACTAACTGAAAGCCGCTTTTGCGGGTCGACCTCGATCATAGCCCTGAGAAGATTTTGGCAATCAGCTGGAACGAAGTGAGGGATGTGGAAGACGCCTTTTTTGACTTTTTCAAGCAGATTGCGCAGATTATCATCATCAAAAGGCAAAGCACCCTACAAACAACGTGCAGTTAAAACTATAACAGTATGCGAAAGTGAGTGAAAATTTCTGCCTCCCAGCATCCTGTAAAGCGCCACCAATCAGTTCATGCACGATTTTTTATTACACTCCTGACGAGAAAAATGAGGAGGTATTCTGAAATTTAAAGTTGAACTTACAACTAATAAAGCATAAAGGATAACGCCACACGACCAAACATCAGCTTTACGACCATCGTACTTTTCGCCCTAAAAATAGCGCCTGATCTGAGAAAGATGAGTCAAAAACCGAGGATCTGGTGGATCTGTTATGAAGTTTAATATATCGATTTTCTGTCAGCAGTGCTCAAAAAGCATTAAACTTTTTCAAGCACACTGAGTTAGGTGGCTGCATTTTGCTGTTCTGATGATGAAATAATAGGGAAGGAAAGAATGAAAAGGACAGGTTCTCAGTGGTACTCGAAATAACGCAGCAGTGTTTTTGCAAAATTTGCGTTAAGTCTGAAAAAAGAAAAACGTGAATGCGCAGGAGTGAAAATGACACCTACCCGTATAACTTCCGGACAAGCGTAATGTGGAGAGCCACAACTCGTCTCGAGCATCGAACCTTCCACTTGTAATGACGCCATACCAAAATCGGCAACCTGGATAACTTCATCAGGCTTTCAATGCACTTAATCAAACTTGGAGATTTTTAGATTACAGGGGTTGTACTGACGAGATCTAGTTATGATGCTCAATTGAGATGTATGCAGATTAATGAACCAAAGCATCATAATCTCAGTTTAAATTGTTATTTCTTCGTTCTTGCTATAGATTTTAGTCTTTAATATTCCCAGTGTGCCTCATTATTAGCTAATATCTGCTTTTAAATAGCCTTCATTGCTCTTTTTAAATCCTAACAAGTAATTTAGCATTTAATATTAAATAAAAATAGAAAGACCTTGATATTGTTCCTGTCATCCAGCAGTAAATTCTCGGGCTTCAGATCGCGATGGCTGAAATTAGTGGCCTCATTGTACTTTGTCATATTGATGGAACAGGGCGGTAGATAACGAATGCAGTTAGTATAGCAGGACTTGTTGGCTATGCATAGCACTTGTCTAGATGCCACTGACCATGAAATTCACTCCACTGGTTCGAGTAGTCCCAGTAATTTAGAAAAAAAAAATGAAACATTTTTAGTCAGTGTGTTAAAAACGAATGTATTTCTTCAAAAATTGACCAAAAGTGCTATTACAACAAGTTCCACGGCATGTAAGATTCGTAAGGCATTAACGGAATCCTTTTAGAGTATCGCTTCTAAATGTAGTCAAGACACTTGAGCTTTTTTTGCCCGAGCAGTACACTTTTATCTGCAGCCAGGATTGAGGCCTTGCAAACACATGTTGACTAACATTAAATTCTGCCCAGTGTTAGAGTGTGTTAGCTGAAAGTGACGAGGCATCTCGGTTATTTTACTATCAGTCGGAGAGACAGCGGGCTGGAGCTGGTAAAAATTGACGTGTACTTTTAGAAACGTCCAGAAACGAACGCAGTTCCAAGCACGAATAGTACATTCATTGGGGCTGTGCCGGATATTGGTACACCCGCTGCAATGCGAAATCAAATAAACAGGCCCAAAGCTACTTGCTCGTTCGTGCTTAGCTCAGTGCTAGATGACTGCGCATGAATATCCATATATGCACTAATTTTCCTCGCTTGTCACTTCAGCTCTGTTGGGCAATAAAATAATCGAAGAAAAAAGAATTATTTTAGATCCAGCCATTCCTTCTGAAAGAGCAGACGGAAGGCAGATAACTCTTTCACATCTCAACACAACAAATGTCGAATTGAGACTAGGTCCGGCTGTAGTGCTGAATAAGAATGTATACGACTAAATGGACCAGAATATTCCTGTTCATCCCATTATTTTTTTTAAACATTTTTATATTTTACATATGTCACCACTAATGTCTTTATTAACTTAGATAAACCTAGGCTAAGCCAGGGACGAGAACTCTGAAATTTTCTGTCCTAGAACTGTAAGTCCAGTTGGTCGCAAATTCTCGAACAGATGGAAACTCATTTTACATAGGACTGCAGCACATTAGGTTCCCAAAGTTCTAATCTCGGCATTTTTGGGACTGAATCATTTGAGCAGGCCGACACGAAATCACGTAGAAATTCAGGCGCCAGCACAAAAACATTTCTGCTAAAGTGCGATTAAAGCGGGCTGCAAAGCAAGTGGCAGATGAATGTGTTTTCCAACCAAAAAAATAATTGGCCAACGCACGGGCTGCCCGTGCGAAGATGCGTTTTTTGCAGAGTTCCCCGCA